GAGGCAATGCATGATGCAAACATTTATAGGTTGTCTAGTATATGTATTTCTTACACGTCTGACGCCATACTTTGTGCCTATCAAATCATTGTACAATAATCGTTATAAAAATAGAAAAGCGTTCCATGATTTGCAGTATGCATTTTCACACGTTAAGTATCTTTCCGACCCTATTGTCCTTGACATTAAGCCCTTCATCAATACGCCTCTCAGAACAAGGAGGCTTGAGTACACAATCGTGTGGGCAGAACATGTTGGTATAAAAACGTAATCATAAAGAAACTGTTGTCAGGCTCACCTGCCTATCGTTCTTGAGGTAGAATTCTCTAGGATACCATGTTGCAGGATGTCCATGCAAAGGTCTCTGTTGTAGTGCACTTTGTTCCACTTTTGCATTCGTCATCTCCAACCTATTCGGTCTTAGTATGTCCACGTTGTACTGCCTCCCCCATTCCCAGTTGTCTATTTAACTCTGTGTTTCGCTAACTACGCACCCTCTGTTTAAGCTTCCTTCGCATCGTTCACGTGTCACACATTTCTTACACGCCGTGTCGCTTTTGTCTGTGCATTTTTCGGGTTGAGCAGGGTCAACCACCGCATCACCACCCCGTTGACATATCTGTCTGTTCGTCGCCCCACCCTTTGCTTCTCCATCGCGTGTTCCAAATTGGTATTGCTCTCTGTTAGCCGCTCTCCTTGTCTTCACCTATGACTTATTCAATTCAGTCGCGTCCTGTCTGTGCCAGCATTTCTTGCACTTCTATTTGGACCAATAGCGATGAGTAGTGGTTCGTCGCATTGTTCAGACTTACCTTCATCTGTCCAGCGTTTCCTAGATTTTCGGTTCACGTTTCATTTACCCTTTACGCGACGAATTTCACCATATAAATGAACCAAATCCTTCATCTTTCTCAACTACTGTTTTGTTGAAGCTGCATTATTGTTGGCACATTCCTTTTTCACTGGTTACGTGAGCTGGTCTCAGGTTTAAACGATCCAAATCCGTGGCTATCTTGTATAGGCCCAAAGCCTTCATTGTGTGAGTGGTTTATACAATCCGTGTTGTTGTGTTGTTGAGGCATGTTACGTTCGCACCACTCATTTGTATAGAATCGCAATAGTCGTTTTCGTTTGGGTTCGCTTCGATACATGCGCCTATCTCTATCGGCATAATTAACAAATGTCCTACTCAACGAACAATCGCTTTCCGTTACATGGCGGTTAAATTATTGGCAGCATTATCACTTAACGACACTCCGACTTGGAGGTTATTCTTTGCGTTTCCCTTACGTTGGTGATGCAAGCAAATGCAAGGATTTTAAAATTATCTGTCCCATGCTGCCCATCTATTTAAGGTTTTAATACTCATTCGGATGTTTTCCCACTTCTGGATCTCATTACACTGTCGTTTCTTTTCGCCTCTCAACAACCCCCGAAATAGGTTTCTCCGTCTCCGGATCGACAACGACTTCAGAAGTTTGCTAATGCGCTGTACAAACTTTTCGCGGAAAATAACCTCGCCGGTGGAGTTGTCTACGATCCAAACCAAGATGTCCGTCTTCACATGACCGTGATGAATTCGACGTTACCCATCCAACGCGATCCGAATGCCACTCGTCAATCGTTCAGTGTTGTCGGACTGACGCGTGAGCTCGGGGACTTCTGCTTCGGTGAGGATGTGCTCTGCGATCAGTTTGAACTGTTAGTGATGAAATCGAGCGCGACCAGTGAGAATCCGTTGCCCAACTTTTCCCTGCGTTTACGTGCTGATTGTGACAGTCCAGTTTTCATAGAAATATGTGATCCGAACAATTCTTAGCGAATCGAAGCATCCCATTCAAGTTATTGGTATTTTTTGATCAGATTGAGACTTGGAAACTCGAAATTTTTTTTACTTCTCTACCTCAGATCGTGCCTTCTTGTGATCACTGCACACATGACAGCTTCGAAGAAACTCGGGATTGATCTTCAACCA